ATTATCAATTAACCGTATATTTAGGGATGTGATTAGATAGACACTAATTATTGCTGAAATTAGCATATTTTTTTTATTCTGTCAAAGATAAAATCAAATTGATTTTACCATTTTTGTCGTTAGTAATTTGAATCCCTACACACACTGTTGATTAGTAATCAAATTTCCAGCAAAATAGAATTTGACATGCAATCTCCATATGACAATTCCTATAATTTAGGAATACACTCTTATCTTCCAATTTTAAATCTGAATTTCCAGCAAAAATAAATCAACTTAATTGCAATCTATATCATACCTTATATATTGAAATCTATATCAAAGAGGGGCAAAAACGGTATTTAACATTGGATGAAATCAGTGTTTTTGAAGGGACACGTGGCATATTACTTTCGTTTATTAGATAGGGAGATTGTATTTTCAAATCTTATTAAGACATTTGGTAAGCTTTCTCTTACTCTCACTTATATATTGATGCTATGAACTCTTTTAATCTAGCTAAATAAAAACAATAATTGCAACTACAAAATGTAGAACGGATTGTATTTCACTAAATAGTACTCAAATGATTAAGAAACAAAGAGATAGTTTAGCAAATTCGAGAAGTCACTCTCCAAAAGGAACAATGTCCAGATTTCACAAAAGATAAATCATGATACGCACATACCCTCTACCCTCTTATAAGCACTGTTGCAAGTTGCAACAAACTAATTAACATAATACCCAAAATACCCCTCCTTGATAAAATGCTCTTTATTCTTGCTGATTTCCTATAAAACCCCTTTCTAGAAAATGTAAGACTAAGTAAATGCTTAGCAATTGATAATCCCAATCATTAGGGAGGAAAGGGGGCTCTCGAAAACAAAGCTCTTACAAAATGATTAGCTACCTGCATAAAGGTGCCACCTCACTCTAGCCGACCACAAAGGTGGATCCCCCACTACTAACAACAATATGGGTGGAGCACTAACAAAAAGATTCCCTGTCAATGTTATGTAAATATCATAATATTAAATAGAGAGCTGGGCTTGATTGGGGTTACCCTCAATGGGTATAGTTTAAAAAATCTACTCAAATGATGGCAATAGGTAACCTGATGCCTTAATAACAAATAATTTGACAGTAAAATACTGTGTTACATTTGGAGAACAACTAATGATTACCATTGCCATTATTTAGTTTTTTAATAACTATTAAAAGCGGGAAAGACGAGAGACTTGGCGGGAAAAAGTACTATTGAAAACAAGGAACGAATATAGCGCGGTTGGAAGCGATTGTTTGGAAGCCAATAGGGAGAAGGCCGGCGACGTCGAGCAAATTGTTGCTTCACTTATCATCCTTAACAGTTAACCCATGGAGTCACAGAAGGAGAGGTTTCAGTCTTGCCGTTAATTTCGCACGCAAATCAGAGGTGTTTTCACTTGTCAGGCGGCATGCAATCGTCGTCGTCATCGGACGAGGCATCTGAACAGGCCACCGGAATAATAATGCTCTCTGTGCCGGAAAGCTCTGATGATTACCAAACTCCCCCAGAACATCAACTTTCTTCTCAGAACTCCAGCAACGACGGTCAGGTGCCGGCGGCAAAGACAACGACTGCATCTCTTGATGATGAAGTGGAAAGCAGCGGAGTTCAAGACGAACAGAGGATGGTGGTCGAAGATACTTATGAGAGAAAGAAAAAACAGACGATTGACATAACGAACGACTCGGATAATCTAGAGTTTTTGGAAAACAGATCTAGGTCTCTTGAATATAAAGATAACAACATACTGATAGTTGATGTGAATGACACTGGACAGATTGAAGCGGAGGAAAGTAATGCTGCTAAAAATTGGGTTGTGGAAGACGTACCTAAAGTGTTTGTAGAAATGCCCATGAGAGAAAAAGAGGTGAGTATGAGCTATACAGAAGTCAAAAAAAGCTTAAACAAAATAGACGACCATAATGTGTATCCCAAAGGAAAAGGACGATTGCCATTTTCAATTTCAATTGAGACAGAGAAAAAGCATGACGTATTTATAGATACCCTGAATCGTGCTTGCAAAATACTGAAGCGGGAGGCAAAAGTTGAGGCCGGCGGGGATACTGATAAAGATGATGATTTTCTGGAGACTGCAATGCGGCGGGGTTTGATTTTCCATCGTCCTAGGTGGTGGCCACCGGAAGGTTGTTTTTAAAGATTAAACTCAAACCTACATTTCAAAAGATGGTAACGTACGTTTAAAATTTTATTTTATTTTTTTTTAACCGACAAATTTAATCTACTTCTAAGAATTAATAACACCTATTCCACCGGTGTCTACAACGGACCATCAGGTAATTACTTTTATTTGTCAAATAAGCTTGAACTTCATTTTTTTCTGCTAAAATATGAGTATTTGTAAATGTATTTCTATAAATATGGGTATTGTGAAAATTTTGTGTAGAAATAAGGATGTTCGGAGGGGTCCCATATACATTTACACTATATCCCCTTATATAGTTACAAGCAATGGGATGCTTTGTAAGTTGTAGCGCATTTATTAATCTTTTATTTTCGATATACTTACATGTAGACTATTTTTGTAATTCTATGAAACACATAGCCCATATCTATAAATTTTCTATTGGGAAGGGACCTTTTTATAATTTTGTGCAACACATAGACCATTTATGTTCTTTCGATATTAGTAAGGGACAACTTCTATAAGTTTGTGAAACACATGGAAGATTTTTGTAATTTTGCTTTTAGGTTGGGACTATTTTTGTGAAACACTGACTTTTTTTTTATAATTTTGTGAAACTCAAGGACTATTTATGCATATTTGTACAATATAGGGATCATTTGGTGAAATATCATGGTATTTCTGTAACTACAAAGAAAATTTATTGTTTTTTAGACAGTTGGTAAATATAAGGATAATAGTAATTATAACTTCTTAACTAGCCCTGTCGAAAATGAAAATACCTATACCCGAATTATCCGTCCGATTTTTTTGGGTATCGGATAAATTTTTTCTGGTATTCGGGTAACCCAATTTTTTTTCAGGTCGGGTATAGGGTATTTTTTTGGGTTTCAGGTAAACCCGAATTACCCGAATTATTTAAAAAAAAAAAAAAAATTTGTAGAGCTTGTACTTGTAGCAGGTAGTTGATCACACTTAAACTAACTATCATTATTGTAAAACATGAATTTTTTTTATTATGACAATATGACACTAACAATATTAAAAATAATTGTTTATATATCACCATATTCTTTAAAACTTAACTGTTTTCTAAATTATAGTTTTTATTGCAACTAACAAACTCATTATTTTGACGAAATTTTAGAACATGACAAAACTTATGGTTACAATTATCTTAAACATTTTAAACTGAGATCTTTAAGTACTTGTTTTTTTAACATCTTATTAGATTAGATTAAGCTGTTAAAATATTACTTGATATCTTAAGTATTATTAACTAAAAAATCTCAATGTTTAAAGTTTGACTAACTGTCTCGTTTGTTTATATAAACAAGACTAATAAAACACGACGCATTTATTTCATTAAATTTATTTTCAGGTGCAATTAAAAAAAAATTATATATTTCGGGTAATAGCCGAATTACCAAAATCCGACCCACTACCTGAATTACCTGAATTTAATTTGGGTCGGGTAATGAGTATTTTTTTAACATGAAAAATCCTAATTACCCAACCCGAATTACCCGAAATCCGAAAAATTATCTGATCAACACCGCTACTTTTAACTATTATTTTTGGGCAAATTGTGTAAAAAAATATCAAGTTTACATAAAATTTCAATTTTGATATCGTGTTTTATATTTTGTAAATTAAGTCACTAAAGTGTAGGGCTGAACACGGATAATGGGTACCCGCTTTTGGAACCGGAACCGAGGTCACTGGTTTCAGATCCGGTTCCTAAAAATGAGAACCGCCAAGGACCGGTTCCGATTCCGGTTTCCATTTTGTAGAAATCGTTACCCGCAGGGTAACCGCCGAAACCGGTTCCGAAATATTAAAATTTAAAAATACCAGATACTAAAACGAATAAAGCAAACACGTATTCGAATAAAGCTGGGTTTCTAACTTTTTCATTCTTTCCAATTTGTACCCCTTACTACATTTCCATTGATTTCTTATTTATTGATTGAACATCTGCCTGATTTCCTTTACTCCTTGATTTGCACATATCTTTTCGTGTGTAATTTGGTTTTTAATATAGGTCAAATTCCAGTTATATTGGTATGTAGAGCAAAACATAGAAAAGATATTTCCATTAAACACAATTTTTTTCACAATTCAGTAACATGAATTAAAATAAACAACTTTCACAACTCAAATAAAACATGATATGTCGAAGTATCGAAACAACTTCACAAAAAAAAAAAAAAAAAAAAAAAAAAACACATCAGCAAAAAATTCTAAAGTCAACGGCCAATATACAAAAGTACTTCCATTGTTTAAAAGACAGTCCAAAGCCCCCAAAATCCTTCTACACAAACAAATACATAAAACCAAGAAGATGAAGAATCAAACAAAAGGTCAGCTTTACCAGAATCCACAAACAACTACCAAAATATCTTGTTTCAAAGCAAATCTTTTTTTTCAGAATGACAGGTTTCAGAGCTAATCTGAAGCACCCAATATAGTCATACAAAATGTACAATCAAGAAAATAAAGATAGAAACAAAAGATAAGTGTTACCAGAATGCCGAAACAAGTCCAAAAAGTTCAGCAAAGTTCCAAGAAATAATTAACATGCCAAGTGGATAAACAAGACCTCCACAGAAAAATTGTATACAAGATATGTCTAACTACAACTAACATGAATGTGAAGTCAAGTTATGGGTTGTTTGGTTGTCATTCTAAAGGGATTATGTGATGAGCATTTGCAAACTATGGAGCAGAAATTGGTGTTTGAATATTTAAGAAAGTAATAGAAAAAATAAAGGGGTGTAAGTGATTATATTCTACCATTTGATGACCAGAAAAGGCAAGTTTAGATTGATATCAGCCATCATTGTTATTTACAGCTCCTGCTCTAACGAAAATGGGGGAAACCAGGCTCTCAACAAAGGTAAATGCATCAAGACATTCATTGAACTTCTGAATCTCTGAGAATGAACAATTCCTGGAATCATACACAACCAATTTCAACCCGAATTGCAACAAAACTTTCCTATCATTTGAAATACACAAAGGCACTGAAAATTGATCCCACCCAGGATCAGTGAGATATGGAATAGAAACCAATTTAATCCAAGAATCTTTCACCCCATAAACCTTCATCACCCATACATCTGCACAAACTTTATAATAATCACAAAGCACACACAACCATTCTCCCACAGCCCCCAATGTCAGATCCTTATCACCTTCATCGTACACAGGTTGCAAAATTTCTCCATACGTCTCTTTTGCTAAATCAAGAGAAACTATTGTCCATGAATAAGATGACCCAAATTTTCGACTAGCCGCCCAATGAAAAGCTCCATTCAAAAACGTGACAGAACCATCCAAAGGAAAACCATTATGAAAATCATCAGTTTTCTTCCAATTTCCAGTTTTCAAAGAGTATATTTTCACTATGGTATCATACCTGGCTCCATCGCTGTCATCTCTGAAAATACTAGATATTCCAACGACTTTGTAATCATCAGTGGACTCATAGCACCCTAAACCATATTTTTCATGCCACCCAAGTCGTGATTTAACACCATTATTGGGTAACATGTTTGATCTGCGAGTACTAGGGTTCCAAATAAACAGAGTATAGTCCTCGTTAGTTATTAATAACAATCCATTGCAAGAACCGGCGATCCATACAGATTTGAGAGAATGTTTCAATGGATAATTAAGCTCTAAGGCGTTAACGGATCCATCATACAACACATCATAAAGAGGACAACTCTTTATACTTATTTTTGGCACAGTACTGAAAATTAATCGATGAAATGCATAGTGGTTGTTGCTAATTGAGAAACTGAGATGAGATTTGATGAAATGCGGATCGGATATTATAGAGCGCCATAACTTGCACACAGACCTACTCCGTAATAGCGATTCAACAGGAAGCCTCAACAGAATTTCGATAATGATCTCAGGCGCAAGCGTATGAATCAATTGAGTATCTTCCGACGGTTCGGAAGTGTGCAAGGTCTTCATTGTCTTTGGCTGTCGTTGCTGGTGCTCGTTTTTGAGTGCCATTACAATCCCTGGTGCGCGACCTAGGGTATTCGGTTTTCTAATTAGATGTACTGGGGCGAATGAGACTTTATTTTAATTTTTAACAATTTAGAAAACGGAAAATGACAGATCATCCCTGTTATATTTTGCATATTTGTTCATTTATATTTTTTGTTTATTAATATTGTTTTTATCCTATCAATATTTTGGACAAAATGAAGTTATCCCTTTGACACATAGATATTGACCAATTTTCCCTCATCCTTGACTTTGAAAAGTCAAAAAATTCCCCATCCTCCTTTTCCTCTCTCAATCCAATTCAGGAATTAAAAATATATAGAATAATCAAAATTCTATCGAGTAAAGGAATGGTTAGTACCGGTTTCCTTTTTGGTTCGAATGTTACACGCCCTGATTGCATCAGAAGACCTAATTGTAGAAGATGATTCAAATTTTGATTTTTCTTTACTTTGGAATCCTCCTACCACTCTAGGTTTTACTTCCTTCATCAATTCAAATCGTAGATATCGATGAAGACTACGAGACGCAACTTTTAAGCACAACAAAAAGTAGATAAAGATTAATTGATTTCAATCAGACGAAAGCTCCACGAGTACCCTGAACTCCCTTTCCAAGAACACACACTAGCAGTTCGATGGAGGGACTCATTTCATTGCAGGATGGCTCCTGATCCCCCAAGTCCACAACAACGGCCTCCACCTTGCAGGTTTGTTACAAACTTAAATATAAACCTAAATTCAACTAGAACATGATTATGGGGTTTTTTTTGTAGATACATATTGATCGAGTACTAAAAAAAGTGACCGAATTAGCGTGTTCGTTATTCAAGTTGATTTCTGAAGCTCCAGGGCTTGATTCAAGAATCCTGAAAGATATTGGTTGAGCAGGTGGACTCGCCACCATCTGTCATAGCTATTCGTCGTCTCCACAGCCGGAACTAACAAGTGGGACTCGAAAAGCATGTCGACAACAACTTCCTAACCGTGCTCCTAAATACCATATCGGTGGCCTCTAGTTCCTTTACCATAATCAATGGGTTAATATTATGTTTGTTCCCAGAGCTATGTTTCTTCCCTTTCACATGTAATAGAGGGGTTGCAAGTGGTGTTATTCACTACTAGAATATATGCCTTTAATGACACTCAAACCACGACACACACTGATTTATGTTACACAAAAGAGAGTGACATTAAAATAGTGTCATCTCTCCAAAAAAATTAAGGATTTAGGTCACGCATTATTATGTTCCCTTAAATTAGTGTCTCAAGAAAAAAATTAAAAACATGAAGGGCGCTTTATCTTGAACGTGTGTCCTCTATAACTGTCACTTTATAATTTTAATGAAACACGTTTCTGCGACCTCACCTCACCTCGCCTCGCCTTGCCAACAACATCTCCACCGACGACGTTAGGTTACTTCTCCTCCAGCTGACTTCACCTCGCCAACCACCTTAGGCTCACCTGACATCGTTGGAGACTGCTCAAATTTACATGCCCTAGGTTTGATTAAGGTATTGGAGAAGTCACTTGTTGATCTTGGTGTTCATGTTGAAACGATTCAAGCAAAGTCAACTTCCCCGATTGGCCAGAGAACCAAGTAACAAAAGAGAAAGAGCAGAAGAAAGTCGACACAAGGGGAAGAAGCGCCTGGTAGCCATGAATCTGATGCTAAATTGAACACATTCAAGGGTTTCTCACCTTCTGAAGCTTCTCAACTTGAACACAACGTAAAATTTCAAGAAAACCGGATATTTGTGTTATTCAAACATATGCTCGTAGTTAGGTTTTCTCCTCGTGTATATGCTTGCACTTAGTTGGGTTTTCTCCTTCGATTGTTGATTATAACTTCTCTTTTCATGGTTTCGTCTTGTGTAAACTTCCATGGGAGGTACATGAACACAGTGACTATAAAAACGAAATGATCCTGCAAAATAAAAAATAATCTAACTGGTATCAGATGACAGTTATGTATAATAATACATGGAAGGGGTAAAATTGTAAATTATATGACCTGAGACTCCTTGGGGGGCTTTCTGCTATATTCCGACATTAAGTCAAACGAATCACCCATATATAGCTTACTTGATTAAGTAATTGTTGGATTAGGTGTCTAAGCCCATAACTATATTTGGTATGTACTTGACTCGGTAGTAGCATGGTCCTTTTAGGTTGCCTTCACCAAAGCAACTTAACTGGATGAATAATTGAGAAAGAGGATAAAAGTGATTTATTAATATATTATATGAATAATATATTAAAAGATAAATCATATTATTTAATTAACATTGGTTAAGAATTAATTTAGAATTAATTTTGTGGTCAAAAGAGGTTAATTAAATCAAGGGGACTGATACTGTAATTATAAGATAGTTACAAAGTTGGGCTTAGGATCCATAAGGAAGCAATGGACGAATTCTATGTGGGAGTCCACATAGAAATCGTCCAAGGGGCCTTCTGGAAGGATCCTTTGGGCTGCTTAAGGACTAAGCAAATAGATTAGGGTTTTGACTGAAACCCTAACTGCTCAGCTATATAAGGAACCCTTGGGATAGCCAAAATCGGCCACTGAACCCTAAGAAGGATAGCCAGCCGACTTTTGAGCCTCCTCCCTCTCTCTCTTGTATTCTCCAATTGCTTTGGTGTTTGTGATCTATTAGAGGCATCACATTTGAGGTGTTAGGTTTTCAAAAGCTCAAGATCATCAAGCTACAATCAAAGGTAATATCCTAACTCTTCATTAGATGTAGGTTTCGATTTTTGTTGTATGCTAGATTAGGGTTTACAAGCTTTGGATGATTATTGCATGTACACATAGAAAAACTAGATCCAAAGCTTTAGGGTTTGCATGTGCACCATAGGATTGATGTTTTGCTCATAACCCAACAGTGGTATCAGAGCGTAGGTCATTTTTCTATTGTATTTGATGCATAGCTAAATTGTTCAAAGCTTAAAAAGTCGAAAAAATTGCTTCTGCCTGATGAACTCGTCGAGTCCCCTGGTGAACTCGACGAGTCAGGGCTACTCAACGAGTACAGTCAGTGACTCGGCGAGTCGGCTCATCTGTTAGCAGGTTTTTTGGGATTTTAACTCTAATTGGGTTGGGATAATTACCATAAACGTTTTTAATTGATAAAATCCTATTTTTTTCAATATGGTATTGATTATCCTCATTCAATTAAAAGATAATTGTTAAATAATAAGATAATTACATTTTTATATGATAAAATAAATTATTTGTATTATTTAAAATTAATTATCTTGCCATAAATTGAATTAGGTCAAATTTAGATAATCACAAATTATTTGATTAATTAAATTATTTGAAATTTGATCTAGAAGGTTTTGAAAAGTTTCAAAACCTTCCCTCAAGTTTTGGAATTTAAATTTTTGATTAATAGTTTTAATTTTAAATTATTTAAATTCTAAACCCTAGAGTTTTAAAAGTTTAAAATTCAACCCTTATACTATTATAATATTAAAAGATTAATAATTATATATATGTATAAGATAAGTCAGTCTTACCGTTAGTAGGCCTCATTCACGAAACCGATCTATAAGGGGGTATAAGGTTACTGCGTATAAAATGGTGGTTTAATGGGTGTCCACTCTCACCCACCGCTTCCTTGATTGGTGGAGGGTCGTTAGCCGAACGGGTAGGATAGGACAACTAATTCCTCATTAATAAGCATAATGATTATATAAAGTAACTAAATGTTTTTTATAAATTCCCAATCTTAGTTACTTTAGGAAAAATATGAAAATGTATGCTATTCCATGAAATTACACTTTGCACCTTGTCAAGTCGTTAGTGGAGCGTGTGTGGTTAACCGACATACTAATTTGGGACTAGCAAGGATGGAAAAGGTTAGCTCGATGTTTATCATAGATCAATGGAGCGTGTGTGGTTAACCGGCACATTGATTAGGTGGTAAATGACATCGAGAGTACCAAGTACATTTGCATGGTTATTCACACCTTGTTTGTGATCCTCGGTATCCCAGTCACAAACTTGAAGGGCATAATCGAGATTTAAACATGACATTGAAAAGTTAAATGAATCTCAAAAGAATCTAGGAATTTCAATTCATTTAAAACTTAAAATCCTTTTCTTTTTTCATGGTGGAAATTGGTAAATCGTAATTTACCTACCTTCATATTATTTGCGATTAGATCACGGCATCCCTCTTCTGAATTGTAAATAATCATGTTGGGTCCTAGCCCTAATTTCTCATTTGGGTGTTTAATTGGGGATTATTATCTAATCTAAACTTTGTTCCTTTTCTATTTCAGATGTCTACTCAAAACAACAACGCTTCTGGCTCGAGCCCTTCTGGCTCATTCTCACTCATGAACCTGTGTGGGAGGGTGATATTTGATGGAACCAATTTTAATGATTGGATCCACAACATACGCATGGTCACCCGTTACGAGGACAAAGAGTATGTTCTTTACAAGGAGTTGAAGGAGGTTAACGTGAACACTGCTACTCCCGAGGAAATTGATGCGTACGAAACTCATGAGCGAGATGCTACGAAGGTTCATTGCATCATGCTCGCAACAATGAATGCTGAAATCCAAAAGTCCTACGAGGACTACTATCCATACGAGATGCACCAAGATTTGATGGAAAGGTACCATCAAAGTGCTAGGCAGGAGAGGTATGAGATCATCGCCTCGATGATCACTACCAAAATGAAGGATGGAGAATCCATCACGGCCCACTTGCAGAAAATGCAAAGGTTTGTGGACCGCTTGCTAAAGTTGAATGTGAACTTTGACGAGGAGTTGGCCATAAATATCATTCTACACTCGTTTCCTCCTTGTTATGACCAGTTTCGTATAACCTATCACATGAACAAGGAGGAGGTCACTCTGAGCAAGCTTCAAGGCCTGCTAAGGACTGTTGAGAGTAGTCTAAAAGGCAAATATGTTGCATCTGCTTCTACTACTGTTGCCCCTGTCTTGGCTATTAGGCAAGGGAAAGGAAAGAAGAGGAAGGC